CACTGGTGCTGTTCGGGCAGGAGCAGAGGTCCCAGCATCAGCAGGGTTGCCTGCATTCTCGCAAATGTGAACACCTACACACAGAAGGGGAGAGAGTGTGAGTTTGAATGTTTAAATGTGTTTGGGTGACTGTGAGCAAGAAAATGAGGGAGGAAGTGAGCAAGTGAGGGGGAGTGCAAGAGCAAAGGAGGGTGAGCACGTGAAAAAGCGCGTGCGCACGCGAGAGGAGAAACCTGTGTATGCCCGTGCACGGACCTGGAGATACACCGGTGCCCACCACAGTACCCAGGAACTGCGTGCAGTGAGGGAGGGCAGGAATGTGCCTGCTTATCTGCATGTGCAGGAGAAGGGGGCGTCGTTGCAGGAAAGAATGAGACCTAAAGAGGAAACAGAGAACAAGCGTGTCCATCTCTAAGAAGCATCTCTAGCGGAAAGGGGTGGATGACAGGGTGATGGAGTTAAGAGGTCCTGGGTGTGCAAGAGGAAGAAGACTCATAGGTGCGGGAGCTGCACGTGCCCAGGGGACTGCGTGTGGGTATGTGCACATGCATACGTGAGCACGAGGCTGTGACAAGTGACAGCAGACATGAGTGTGTGTGCGCCTGTGTGGAACGCCTCCGGGGGTGCGAGTGAGCGTGCCTGCCCCGGGGGCAGCTGTGGGCTGCCTGCAGGTGTCGGCGATGCCTGAGGATGTTTTCACCCAGAAATCTCAGTCTGGGAGGACTGGATGACGCTGGCTAGGGTCTGGGTGACCGCGGCCCCGGGAGTGTTGGCCATGTCGCCCCCCGCCTGGCAGCTCCTGTGGGAATGAGTGAGTCACCCAGGCATGGCTGGTCCTCACTCTGCCTTGCCTCTTAGTCTCGCCCAGTGGGGAAGACAGCTGGGAGGGGGAGAGATTACCCGAGGGCTGTATTTTTACATCATCATTATGCAACTGCTTGCAGTGTCCATGGGCTCATTCTAAAGGCCCAACGCCCCAGGTCTCTGGGCCGTATGCCTCCATCTCCTTTTATGTCCAAGGTGCAGCTTAGGTTGGTGGTTTTGGCTGACGAACACTGCGGAAGTCTACTCCTAACCAGGTTCCAGGACCACCCTATTTACAATGCCAACCATCCCCCCGCCCCTGGCCACCCAGTCCCGGTCCTTTCCCACCTCCCCCTTTTTGGCTTTAATTTTCTCCACAGCACTTATCACCATCTGCTATACTATATATTTTACTTATTTATTGCCTATCTTTCCCTTAATAGCAAATGCCTATGTCATTTGCCACATTCCAGGCATTGTTCTGAGCTCCATTTAATCCTCCAACAACCGTACATGGTAGTGAATGTTATTCTTGCCATTTTGTAAATGGAAGGCAGAGAGGTTAAGTAGCTTGCCCAGGATCACCCCAACGGTGAATGGTGGAGCTACGCCTGGGTCCAGGATGCCTGCTCTTAACTAGGGCACAATACTGTCCTGTAAGGGTGGGAAATTTTCTCAGGTTGCTTCATTGTTGAAACTCCAGTGCTTACAGAGTGCCCAACACATGGAAGTGGTCAGTGAATACTGAGTAAATGGATGAAGAAATGAGTGAATGAACGTTGCCATGGAGGATGGAATAGAGAGGTAGTTGCCTTCAAAGAGCTCACGGTCCCATGGAGGAAACAGACAAAAAGTTATTTCAGTATCATATGAAGACGGCGTCACGGGTGCCTAGAAGGGCATATAACTTGCCTGGCCCCTGGCAGGCGGGCTTTCCAGAGGAAGGACACAGATAGGGACAGGCACAGTGACATCGCCCAACTCCTCCAAACTCCTCCCTGGGGACAGACATACCTTAGTTCTTCCTGCCTCAGTCCACAGGGTGCCAGAAGATCAGAATGGCTCAATGGCGACAAGGAAGGCAGAATGGGGTAGCGGCCAGGAGCCTGGGCTCTGGAAGGAAACTGCCTGGAGGGACTCCTCACTCTACTGAACACTGGATGAACCCGGACAGACCCTCCAACCTCCCTGGACCTTGGTCCTTTCTTCTATGAGATGGTGATAGCAAATAATACCAACTTCCTAGGGTAGCAGAGAGGATTGCATGAGATATAGGTTGTGATATTCTGATTTATCAGAAATATATAATTCGTCATTCAGATGACCAAAATATATATCTCTCATATATATTTGGTCTTCAGCCACAGCTCCTAACTCACAGCTCCCAAAGTCTTTGGAATTTCCTGAGCTACTAGAGCAGTGGGATCATATTTGGTCTCTTGTCCTTAGTTCCTGAAAATGCTTCAGGGAAGGTGACTTTTGGATCCCACCCAAGGGTGGGGGCTGGTTGCCAGGAGAACCAACCATGTGATTAGAGCACTGGAACTCTCCAGTCCCAGACCCGACCTCCAGGGAGAGGGGCTGGGGGTTGAATCATTCGCCAATGGCCAATGATTTAATCCACGATGTTTATGTAATAAAGCCTCCAGAAACATCCCAAAGGACTGGACCTGGAGAGCTTCCGGGTGAGCGCATGGAGAGGTGGGGAGAGTGGTGCTGGGAGTGGGTACGGGGGCTCGGCGCCCCTTGCCTTGCCCTACGCATCTCTTCCAACTGGATGGTCATCTATATCCTTTAATAGCCTTTTAAAATAAACTGGTAATCTAGTGACTAAAATGTTTCTCTGAGTTTTGTGAGCCTTTCTAGCACATTAACTGAACCTGAGGAGAGGGTTGTGGGAACCTCTGACATATAGCCAGTCGGTCAGAACTGCAGGTAACAACCTGGGCTTGCAACTGGCGTCTGAAGTAGAGGGCAGACTTGTGGGATTGAGCCCTTTACCTGTGGAATCTGATGCTATCTCCTGGGAGACAGTGTCAGAAATGAGCTGAATTCTCAGATAACCTGCTGGTGCTACTGCACCTTTGCATACATGTGAAAGCATTTAGCACAGTGCCTGGCACAAGGTAGGCAATGTGCCAGGTCCAGCGGAGATGACCAGTAATCCTCTTTGATTCTATTCTGGTTGTTGGCTTTTGGGGAGGAATGGGAGAGAAGGTTGGAATTAAACAAATCACGCTTATTACTGTATCCTCTCTGCGGTGGCTTCATCCCATTTTCCAGAAGCAGCTCAAAGCAGGGCAGGGACCTTGTCTGTCATACTCACCACTATATCCCTAGCACCTAGTACAGCACCTGACACATAGTACATGCTCAATAAGCATTTGTTGAATGAATGCTTGTGTGATTACATTTATTTTCCTTGTGAGGATAAATGTTCATACTGTTGCTGTTTCCATTTGCAAATAAAGGACTGCAGGACCAGCGGGTTACATGCCTTGTCCATAAACACACAGCCTGTGTGCAGAACAGCCAGACTCCAAGACCAGACCCCATGCTCTTTCCTCCACACCATGCTACTCTCTGGATTCCTATACACGGTGTCCTATTTTCTGTGGATTTTTTTCTAAACACTGGGGCCATCCCTGGTTGTAGAATCATCTCTGAATTCTATGACTCATATCTGAATCACAGAACTGTTTAATAGCTGAAAGGGACTTGCGCTGTCACCTCGACCTCCCACCCACTGTGGAAATTTCCTCTCCAGTGTCTATCCAGACAATACTTGAATACCTCCAGTGATGGAACACTCATTTTCTCCTGCATTATCAAGTTCAATGACTGGACTATTTTTAGAGTCAGAAAGAAAGTTCTGCATCCCGTGGGCCAACAGGCCTCTTTTAAATTTCTATGTATTGGATTTATGCCCTCTTCATAAGACACACACAGAATGAATATGCCGTCCCCTTCACAAGACAGCCTTTCAGATGTCTGCAGACAGCTCTTACGTCCCTTTGGAGAAGTCTAGTCCTCAAGCTAGCTGTTTTGGGTCCCACAGCGACACTGGTGCAATGGCATCCATCCTAGCCCATCTCAACAGGCCGTCCTAAGTGTTTTGAGCAATGGCACCCCCTACTGGATAAGGTGAGAATTATACTGAAGGGCTCAATGCTCGGTGGGAGGCTGGAGGAACTTCATCCATAGCTGGGGCAACTGCTCATGGGGTGAAAAAACAACCACTTATTTTAAAGAGTCATGGCTTTAGAGTCACACCGAGCTGTTTTCCATGTCTGTCTTAAAGAGCGTCACTGAAGACTCGACACTCTAAGGTTCCTTGCCAATCATGAGGTTTCTGACAAGCTACAGGTTTGAGAGTTCAAAATTAGAATTCAGAATTGGTTATTTCTTAACAAAAAGGTTTGGAAAGGGAGATGTGAGAGTGTGTGTAGTGTTACAGGATTATGGTGATTTTTCTTTTTCTCTTGTCTTTATTTTCTAATGTTTCTACAATGGATATTTGTTATAAGGAGGAAAAAAAAACAATAAAAACTTTTATAAAAGGAAAAAACACAAAAAAGTTTCCCCCACCTTCCTTCCTTCATTCCTTCCAAGGCTGTTAATCATGACTTGGGTATTTGGTCTACAACTGGACGTGCTGCTTCTCCATGGGCAGGAGTGCCTTGGTAATGTTTCTGTGGCGAGAGCAATGGCCCGTGGTTCAAGTGTGGTCAACCAGACTCAAGCAGCACAATCTGACATTCACAGCCAGGCTTCTCCTCAGGGCTGTCAGGGATTTTCTCCACTTCGTCCACCCCACCCTTGGCTCATGCCACGGTCAGGCTGTGTTTCCTAATCTTACCTTTCGAAATCTGCCCAGCACACCACAGGCCAGTGGTCATGTCCTGATCAAGCCTGGACTCCCCAGCTCTTCACCCTTCTCTCCACCCTCCCCGCACACCTTCAGCTGCCTCTTCTTCCCTCCAGATGAGTCTACAGCAGCTCCAAATGATAACAGGTCAGAAAGACATCAGGGATTAGAAAAACAAATCCTCATTGAAACGAAGACCTACAGACCAGCTGAGTCACTCCTCTAAAGCAAATTCACAGCCACCCAGGCTTTCCTCCAGCCCCAGTGCCATCCGGAGCTCTCTTCCTCCATTTGCAGCTTGGGGGGACCTGGTGCTGGGAAGACTCACCCGGCAGCCTCTCGCTGCAGCACATGTCCAGGGCCCCTCCCTCGGAGTCATCAGCAGTGTGGTTCTCTCTCTCTCTCACTCCTGCAGCAGAATGAAAAATGTGAGATGAGGCTGTTGAGCTGGGATCAAGACAAAACCCTGAGCAAAGAGAAAAAGCCTTTCTTTCTTGCACTGTGTCCCTTGGAATAACCCTGCCCCATCAGGGGGACCAGAGGAAAAGACCAACCTACAGAGGGGTCAAGCTGCAGAGGCAGAAGCAGAATTTTACAGGTGTCTTCCAGATGGAATAACCACCAGCAACATCTCTAAAACCACCATCAGCACCATCATCTCTGCCACAGAAGGAGGGCTTACTACGTTCAAAGCACTTTACAAACTTCATCACACTGAATCTTCATCAGGGCCCCATGAATTAGGGACCATTCCACTGGCTCAGAGAAGTCAAGTAACCTGCCTCAGGTCACACAGCTCATTAGGGTAGAGCTGGGTACGAAATTACAGTCTAGGACTCCAGGCTCACACTTTCACTGCTGTGCCATTCTGCCTCCTAGTTCCTGTGGGTTTGAACCATGGGTGAGCAACAGGGATCTGGGTAACATACAGTGTGTGTCCAGCTCCCCACATCTGCACATTCCCTGTGCCTCAGGCAGTAAAAAGTGGTATGCAAAACTCTTCTCTGGAAATAGCTAGAAAAAATAGCTGTATATGTATATGCATTTTCTAAATGTTCTATTTCTTTTTGAACTCAGAAAACCCTCTTTCTAGCTCATCAGGGCACCTTCCAGGACTATGCTGGGGACTAGTTTTTCTCCTTTACCCAGTAAGCTGGGAAAAAGGTTGCTGGAGATTAGTCAGACCCCAGACAGTGTCTGCACTTTGACATATCCTGAGGGTAATTGCGTTGCTCTCAGGGCTTCCCCTGCTTTGGGAATAGCCTGCCGTGCAGGTGTGGGCTCCAGTGGCTCTGCCTGCCCTTCGTGTCTGACCCCTGGCAGTAGCTGACTGATCCAGGGCTGGACAAACCCACTAGGCTGGGCCAATCAGACCCTCTCCTCTGCACTTTTAAAATGCATTCTGGGGCTGAATCACGGTAGCCACAGTGTCCTGGAGAGAAGGTCCAAACACATCTGCTGCCATGGGTCTTGGAGCTACTTCATTCCGGCCCATCTTGAGTCTTGATTGGGCAAAATTTCTGTTAAGGCCATAAGATGCCCCAGTATCCTTCCAATAAATTCCAACATTTTAGCTCAAACCAACAGCATCTGATTTCTGAAATTGGCAACCAGAAGAAACTTTAATACAGCTAGCATAATACTAGCTAGCTAGCATAATACTTGCTATTATTGCTAGCATAATACTTGCTAGCATAATACTTCCAAGAAGTTCAGGAGGTCAGCTGCCTCTCCACCCACTAGTCCTGCAATCCTGCCTCTCGGACTGGTCCTGAGGCTGATTCCAGGCCCAGCTGCAGATCGGAATCAATGAAGGGCAGACAGGCCGGGTTAAGGATGGTGACCATTTTCATTCTGACATCTTCTGCTCTCAATTGGCAATTGTTTTATTTTTTCCTCACTCCTATTGGCAGGGTCTCTGAGAATCCCAAATCCCAGGGCCCAGCTCTCCTATGGAGAGAGGGCTGCTATCTTCAAGGCCCTTTAAATGTCTCCTGAGTCTCTCCACTTTTCTCCCTCTTCACTACCTACATCTTGGCCCAGGGCAGCATCTCTTGCCTAGATTACTGTGGCAGTCTTTTAACTGGTCTCTGGCATCCACTCAGCCTGGCCTCCAAAACATTCTCCATATGGCTCCAATACATACGGCTTCATAGGTTGTGCACTTTACAACCTGTACATCTGGATGAGGCAGGCCTGAGCTAGAACTTTTTCACAACTCAACGTTTATCATATAACTTTCCTTAAAAAAATACTTGAATGGCATCCTATTACACTTGGAACAAAGGCAATGGCAACCTTTGACATGGTTTATCAGATCTTGAATGGTCTAACCCTTGTTCATCCCTCCAACTTTATTTCATGCCCCTTTCCCCGTTAACCTCTGCACTCTAGCTACACTGGGACAGGCTCTTTCCTTCATGATGCCTTTGCACGTGTTTTTCTCCCTGCCTGGAGAGCCCCCCACCCGCTCCAGGAGCTCTACTTCCCAGTACTTTTGTTTTTTTTAAACGTCTTTATTGAAGTATAATTGCTTTACAATGGTGTGTTAGTTTCTGCTTTATAACAAAGTAAATCAGCTATACATATACATCTATCCCCATATCTCCTCCCTCTTGCGTCTCCCTCCCACCCTCCCTATCCCACCCCTCTAGGTGGTCACAAAACATCCAGCTGATCTCCCTGTGCTATACGGCTGCTTCCCACTAGCTATTTTCTTCCCAGTACTTTTTACTCACAGCACTTGACAGAGTTTGAAATTTCATTTTAACTCAGGCCATTATTTGACTAACATTAGATTATAAGCGACAGGAGGGCAGGGACCACCATTTGTTTCATTTACCATTGTATCTTGAAAGCCTCAAATAGTGCCTGGTTCACAGCAGGTGTTCAATAAATAAACAAACACTTGTTGAATAACTGAATGTTGCCCTGACCTTCTTGGAAAAACATCAGGAACCTCAAACATGGCCATCATCTGAGCTGCCTTTGTGAAGGCAGTTTTTTTTGTTTTTTTGCGGTACGCGGGCCTCTCACTGCTGTGGCCTCTCCCGTTGTGGAGCACAGGCTCCGGATGCACAGGCTCAGCGGCCATGGCTCACGGGCCCAGCCGCTCCACGGCATGTGGGATCTTCCCGTACCGGGGCACGAACCCGTGTCCCCTGCATCGGCAGGCGGACTCTCGACCACTGCGCCACCAGGGAAGCCCTGAAGGCAGTCTTTGTGAAGTCACCTGGAACCTTCCTCCACAGCTACTGTCCACAGCAGGCCCAGAATCACACATCGGGAAGGCCTCTCATTTAGCAGAGGAGGAAACGGAGGCACAGAACCGAGGTCTGACTTGTCCCAGGTGATATATCGAGTGGGTGGCCATGTGGATTGGGATGGAGAACACCTACCCCCTACCTCCCGATCTGAAGCTTTTTCTTTATTTATCTTGAAGAGCGCCCCAGCTGGAGGGCAGCCCCAAAGGCCTGGCCCCTAGCTCAGTGCAAAAAGGTAACTGAGGTATCCTGATACCTCTGGAGGGGGACCCATGTGTGACTCACAGCTGCGTTCACACCTTAAGCCTCCCAGGCCCCAAGCCGTGTTCAGAATAGCTCAGCGCTGCATGTGTGCAGCGGACTCTATAAATAAGCTTCCTAGAAAATGACTAATTTCATAATCAGGAAAGCAGAAAGAGTAGCACCTCTCGTCTGTAGAGGAAAATGGAGCTAGAGCCTGCTCTCGGCCCTGCAGTTGAAGGACTCCAGGCAACCTCGCCAAAACCTGCATGTCTAGGCTGTTCAGGGGAGGGTTTTAATTAGATTTCCAAAGAGAAGAGCTCGTCCATTCAGGCTGAATGGAGAAGCCCAGTCTCTGGGAACTGCCCTCCTTCCTCCCTGCCAAGAGCAGAAATAGCTGCTTGCAGTGGATTACTGCAGGCTCCTTCTCTCCTCTTCGCCACTTCTACCAGCCGGGCAACAGGAGCAGAAAACTGGCCTGTGACAACAGGCAGCAACTTGCTGTGCTGGCCCCTCACTGCTGCTCTTAGAACCAGAGAACCCCAGACATAAAGGGACTTGGAGATCACCCTGCCTGTCCTTCCCTCACCGATGGAGAATATCTGGGAGGGAGGAGAAATTTTCCAAAGCCATTGCCCCATTCAACAAGCATTTACTGAGCACCTCCTGTGAGTAAGGCACCAAGGCTATCCTAGGAACACAGTGGTGAACAAGCCAGGCCCTTCCCCCCCGAAGCTCCCAGTCTTCCAAGGGAGACACACAGGCAAACATGATCGTTCCCACACCTGCTTTAATAGGCTGCATGCACGTGATACCTTGGGGAGCTCAGCTTGGCTCGTGGTGAGGGGGCGGAGGGTGGATGTCTTCTGCAAGGGAAGATAGGACCTGGTTCTTAAAGGATGTTTCTAGGTGGATGAGAGGGTCACAAAGGAAAGAACTTCCTTCATAGTGCAAACAGCAAGAGCAAGAGCTGAGCATCTCAGAGGCCTGAGATGTACGGAATATTTGGCATTAACTGGAAGCAGGTTGGTCAGTGGGATGGGGAAGTGATGGAGGCCGGGCACCAGCAGAGGCACCTGAGCAGGAATCCTGTCCTCTTCCAGTTGACCATGGGGCTTCCTCTGAACCAAGATGTGCCACAGGCTCCCCCACCCCTGGGCTGAGGAGGTCTGTCATAGAAGGGCGATCAGTGGCATGTGTTCGAGGAATAAACATTAGGCCCAGCTGGTGGCATCTGATCTGCTCCCAATCTACTCCTTTTTTGAAACTGGGGTGAAATTCACATAACCTAAAACTCACCATTTTAACCATTTTAAAACATACAATACATTCACAACGCCGTGCAACCACCACCATTATCTAGTTCCAGAAGAGTTTCATCACCCCGAAAGGAAACCCTGTACCCATTAAGAAGTCACTCCCCTCCCTCAGCCTCTGGCAACCACTAATCTGCTTCCTGTCTCTCATAGATTTGCCTATTCTGCATATTTCATATAAATGGAATCATACAAAAGGAGCCTTTTGGGTCTGGCTCCGTTCACTTAGCATAACATTTTCTAGGTTCATCCCAGTTGTAGCACGTATCAGTACTTAATTCTTTTTAATGACTGGAAAATATTCTACTCCATGGATGAACTATACTTCATCCATTCATCAGCTGATGGACACCTGGGTTGATTCCCACCTTTTGGCTACTGTGAGTAGTACTGCTATGAACCAAACTTCTCTTTTAAACTCTGCTCCTAACATGCTTACGACTTTGGGCAGTCCTCTCTCACCCTGGGCCCCTGAGGCCTCATCTGTAAAGTCAGGTGGTAAGATCCTCCTTGAAGCTTGAACGTCGTCACCGTCATTTGTCCATTCGTGTGTGAAGGTAATGTGTACCTGGCTGGGTACTGGAGACCTG